CGAAATATCAGCTAACAAAATAAAAATGAAATAGTAATCTACTTAGATTGGATTGCAAAACTCTAGGTTTTATTGGATGGTCCAGTGTTATACTATTGTCAGTTTTGTGTTTTATATTTACAAAGGGGTCAGTAATTTTTCCAGATTTGGAATTGGTAACGATCGGAATCAAAGACTTTACGGCACCAAGCCTGGAACAAGTCAAGATATTTCTACAGATAATGGAACAGGGTAAACAAAATCGAAAGGTATGATGGCGTCACATCCGTTTATAAATGCGCATTACAAACATATCATCTAACCTTCAAACAAAATATCAAAATCGTAAACTATAAGTCAATGTCCTAATCACACATCGAATACCGTCATGTATCTGTCCGAATTGCAATCTTTAGTAAAATAAAATCCAGTCGGTAGACATGAAATAAGTCTAACAGACATTTTGAATCTTTCAAGATAGAAACGTCTGCTCATTTAGGTCTATGCACAGCACACATTTATAAATTTAAAACTGTTGTTACTTTCAGGCAGTTGCTATCCATTGTGCTCACGGTAAAGGCAGGACAGGTACAATAGCCGCCTGCTACCTTGTGAAAACGTATGGTTTGACGTCACAGCAAGCGCTAGATAAAGTTCGACAACTCCGACCTGGTTCAGTAGAAACCGTTACTCAGGAACAATTGGTAGCTGAATTTGAAACCTGGTATAAAGACAAATTATTATGATTTTTCCTTTCTTCTCTTGAAATAAAGAAAATACGGAAAATATGTTGATGGAATTTTCAAGAGTAGTTTTAAGACTTTTCTGTCAGTTTTGACATGAGTATAGCCTAATTAGTCTACTTTCATTCCATTCACCCCTTGTAGATACCGTCACCTCCATTTTCCCGCCATATTTCACTTCCAGACTTCCAGACACCACCGCGTTATTTCCAACTATGATATAAATATTTTCACTACAATCTTCACCTCAAGTTGAGCTCACAATATAAACGTTTGTGGTCTGAAACCGTTTTGTTTGTTGTGATTTTGTAGTTATTTCCCTTGTGATACTCCTTGATTTAAAGATAAGAAAAATTTTTGATTGAAAACTGTGAGTATATTTTATTATAATTGTGGTTTATAAGGGGGGAACCTACAAAATTTAGACCGATGACGCCCTTCAATTCATTTCATTAGTCCAATAAGAACAGAACAGTAGGATATAAAACTATATTTCATTTCATTAGTTCAATAAGATACAGAACAGTAGGATATAAAACTCCATTTCATTTCATTAGTAAATAAGATACGGAACAGTAGGATATAAAACTACTTTTCATTTCATTAGTCCAATAAGATACAGAACAGTAGGATATAAAACTCCATTTCATTTCATTAGTAAATAAGATACGGAACAGTAGGATATAAAACTCTATTTCATTTCATTAGTCCAATAAGATACAGAACAGTAGGATAAAAAACTATATTTCATTTCATTAGTCCAATAATATACAAAACAGTAGGATGTAAAACTCTATTTCATTTCATTAGTCCAATAAGATACAGAACAGTAGGATATAAAACTATATTTCATTTCATTAGTCCAATAAGATACAGAACAGTAGGATATAAAACTATATTTCATTCCATTAGTTCAATAAGATACAGAACAGTAGGATATAAAACTCTATTTCATTTCATTAGTTCAATAAGATACAGAACAGTAGGATATAAAACTATATTTCATTCCATTAGTCCAATAAGATACAGAACAGTAGGATATAAAACTATATTTCATTCCATTAGTTCAATAAGATACAGAACAGTAGGATATAAAACTACATTTCATTTCATTAGTCATATAAGATACAGAACAGTAGGATATAAAACTATATTTCATTTCATTAGTTCAATAAGATACAGAACAGTAGGATATAAAACTCCATTTCATTTCATTAGTTCAATAAGATACAGAACAGTAGGATATAAAACTCTATTTCATTTCAATAGTTCAATAAGGTACAGAACAGTAGGATATAAAACTATATTTCATTTCATTAGTTCAATAAGATACAGAACAGTAGGATATAAAACTCCATTTCATTTCATTAGTCCAATAAGAAATAGAACAGTAGGATATAAAACTCTATTTCATTTCATTAGCTCTCTAAGATACAGAACAGTAGGATATCAAACTTTTTTCATTTTGTTTTTTAATGTGTCAGAAACTATTCCATGTATTCCAATTGAGTGGCAGTAAAATATCTAAACATCGTTTAATAAAGCAAGGAATAAAAAATAAATAACTAAAAAAATTGAATAATTTCGTTTCAAAGGTTTTCAAAAGATATTATCAAATTTTTATTTATCAAAATTAATATTTTAGAAAAATTAGACTTTTAAATTTTAAAGTTAAAAGAAATTTTTTAAGTAAAATTGATGCAAAAGATAATCTTGAAATATCTTTAACTCAGACAAAAACCAGATTCAATTTGGCCTGAAACGAATGGAATCTGTTTTTGATAAATTAAACCATTTTCTATCTTTTGGAATTAAGACAAACACCAGGTTCAGTTTGGCCCGAAACGAAGGTATAATTTAATTTGAGAAAATTTTAATCGTCTGTAAAGCATACAGTTAATATAAACAAATTCAAATCATTTCAGTGGAAATTCTACTTAATAAGCCAAAGGGCACTCTATCCCGATCTTATCGCAGTGAATTAAAATTGAAATATCCGCTAGAAAATATAACACTGGTCGCCATTTCTGACGTAATATATCACGTGATGATCTCATGGAAGTAATAACGTCACTAATTGGCTGATTCAGCAGACGAGAGTTATGTCACCTGTCGCGCGTGTTGTTAAGAATATGTGTCTACTCGGCAGGGGACGCTACATGTCTAAGATCAAGGTAACAAACATTGTGTCTGTGTGATTTGAAATTAGTTTAGAAGTTACTTTCATATACGTAATGTTCTTCATACCTCGGCTAAATAATCAAATAAACCCCGCACGTGCTAGAGTGTTGTTACGAGATGAAAGTTACAGACGACATTTTGGCTGGAGGTTATTTAAAATGGCGGGAACTATCAACATGATTAGAACAATTTTGAGTAATGAATTACGAGCCGGAGGGAAAAACCGAGGCAGGGAGCGGTCTAATTACTAAAGTTTATAAACAGAGAATAAATCATTAAACTTTTAATGTCTTTCATTTTCTAAAATAGAAATCTTTATTTTCCAGTAATAGTGAGGCGAATATTGGTGAGTGAATGAATGAGTGAGTAAGCTACTGGACTAACTTGATTTACCAAATGTTTGCATAAATAAATATAAGGATATTTAATATATAATACCAAACAACTCTTCCATTTCGTTAAAACTGAACGATATAAGATGTAGTAAAGAGTTATATTAGACAACGGTGAAGCAAAATGTGAATGAGTCGGCAATTTTTAGCTAGAAATGCAGCCATCTTGTAAGAGGGGATAACCTATATTATTATGTTATTGTGGTCTGGTGGTAAAATGGTTACGAATTCTCTTGTGGGAGCTCCGTCATTTTCGGTTAGCTCTCTCTGAATTGTAGGAACCATAGTCATTGGACGAAGAATTGGAATGTCCCAAATAGAAGTCAAAGGTGGCCCCGTTATACAGAAAAAGGCTAGAAAACCTCAATCCATTTAAATTATAATTGAAAAAGAATTAAATATGTCCTAAATGAACGACCGTAATCATTACATAATATGACCCAAGTTCTGCATCACGTTTGTGAATTTTCTCTTCTTTTTGCTAACTGTTATTGCTAACTACATGTTAAATATTCATTTACTATCACTAATAACCCCGGCCATACCTTAATATATCTGTACCTAAATAAAGTGGCGACACTGTAGGGTCATTTAGTAAAAACTACATTCAAAAATTATATATTAGTACAGAAGAATATGTTCGGAACACGTTTGTACATTGTTCAGGTTCGGCCTGGATAAACAATTCACTGTAGCTATTAGAATTAGATATATTACTTGGTAAATAGCAACTAAAAGGTCTTTTACTCTGTATAATATCAACTTTCGTTTACTTGTAAATATTGTATAGTTATTTATACATCTTAAAGGGATACGTCCGTCTAATTATGTCAATCTACTGGCAGATAAAGCTCAAGTGAGCAATTCGACTAAATATTATCTCCACTGATTATACGGGGGTTGGTTGCCAGCTTCATAAAAATTGGAATTACAAATACAAATGTACCGGTATGTTAAATGCTTGGTCAAGGGGCGTCTTTTTGAATACATTTAGATGTTATATTACCTCCCTTTGAAGGCTTGCTTTGACTTTGTCGTGAAATCTTTCTGCATCATTCCTAAGCCGAGAGTATTGAGAGAACGTGAATGTATAACTTGAATTCGTAGTCTATTTTAGGAGATAGTAAAGGGGTCGATGAAGGGCCGATATAAAGAAATAAACCTACTCTAAACCATTATCCACTATTTAAACAGGCGTCTGTTTCAACCCTTTCTTACAATAACTGACAAATAGTTAACAAACACAAGATGGCGCTATGCCGTCTGCTATTTGGCGCGAATTAAAAAGCCTTGGTAACAACAAACGTGCTGTTTGGATACAAGACTCGGCTTAGTATCAAAGTCTCACTCTGGTTTGTTGATTTCGACTGCCATGTTGATATCATTTAAAACGACTTTAGTTACAGTTGAGATGCTTGATACTGTGACCAGTCAGTCGCCTCAATTCAAATTTGTCACGTCATTGTGTAAACTAGTCCACGTCATTGTTCGTCTGCCTCATTTTAACAAAGCCGCCATGTTTGTTCAACGTTCATTCGTTGTGTGACTCGGCACGCTCCCATCACGAGACCGTCTCGAGCTTGACTTCTATGATGCTCGAACAAAAAGGATTGTGATGTGACTAAAGGATGAAATGTTAGGATATCGTTTTTTCTCGCTTTAATTAATCGGAACTATCAAAATAATTAGATCCTAGACGAGGTCGTTAAGTCTTGTCGTTTTGACCTCCATTTAATCTGGTCATATTTACAGGTTGAACTCAATTGAAATAAGATTGAAAATGGCTGAATGTTAAACAGGACCATTTTACTTCAGTGTAGGGAGACGAATTGTGGTAGAAAAAGACAACGTAATGTAGAGTAAATTGGAAGCCTATTTATCAATCATACTTTAATCTCAGAAACTGGACATTTTTATCTAAGCCAATCAGTAATAGTGTTCACAGCTCGCCGTCGAAATTTGAGACTTCAAATCCATGTGTTACCAGAATTGTCTGCGTTTGAGTGTTAAAATGACGACTCGTACATTTCTAGTACTTCTGAAGACTATTTACATATATTCAAGACTAAAATCAACCCCCCAAAATGACGCATCTGTCAATTAAGAACGATTTGAAACGACACAAGCACGAATTCGCCTATTGTCCATTCTTCTCTTACAAGTTGGGGCCTCCTGATAATGGGACTGATAGAAAATGGGATGTCAAATATACATTTTGTATTCAGTTGTAGAAGGTTAGTAGACTAGGATCCTGACAGTCCAACACCAGATTGAAAACAAAAATGACCGTTGCTGTAGACCATGGTGCCACCTACCGGGAAAATCAGAAATTCTGCTTTCATTTTTTGTTTAGATATCAAAGGGGAAGATAACTCGTGATTTCAATCCATCTTTCTCAACTCAACGGGATATTCATGTTTTCAGTGATAA